ACAGTTAAAAAAAAAGCTATAGAAGTTGTTACAGTTCAAATTTCGACTATGTACCTATATGATATTAATAATTATTAAATCACTTCCTAAAACAACTAATCATTTTTAACTGTTATAATAGTATTTTATGCTCCCACTTTGACGATTTCCGTTAAGATATACAAAATATTTACAATTTTAAAATAATCATAACTGGCTTTAAAATTAAAATATAATAAAAACTAAAAAGCCCATAACTTTGTCTAGATAATAATCTTACCTGAAGATTTCATAAGAGGTCAATTCACTCTAATTTTTAAACTATCGGAGCTACACGTGTTCTGCTGAGCGTAAAATTTGCAATGGTACGCACTTGTACCAGACGGAGACAGCACATGAGGGTACCACGTCCTCTTAAAGCGCAGCCACGCAGGTAATTACCAATGTATTAACTGGTATACTATAAACAGATAATTTTTTGATTACTCTATATTATTTTGACAACAAATATTGAGACCCCAACTCCCGTCTAACAATTTTCATCCCACATATTGTTATGTGTATTAAATCTCATTAAAAAATATTTCGATGAACTTATCGGGTCATTTATGACACCTTCGAATGCATTTTCGGATAAACTACTATTGTTTTCTAGGGTTATAGTATAGTGTACATATTTATATGTATTATGCATCGGGTTGGCCCTGATGGATCCGTTACATTTAAATGACACTCGAATAATATCATAATGATATTATTTGTTTAGCGCAATCGTCAAAAATCTTTATCTTGGAAGGGGCAATGAAAATGTTGCACCGACAGACATTTAGGCGTTTCGGGTAGCTTTCGTTATTAGCTACGGTCGTTTTCTGCACTATATATTATACTTATCAGCAGCCGACAAGATTTACGGAAAGACGTATTTCATGAAAATGAGTAATGTGAAATCGTGACGCATTTAGTTTCCTCGCGTATTGAGTGCCACATCGAATACTCACTGTAACCGGCCAATATTATTGTCTAAAAACGAAGATTGTTATTATTATTATTATTATTGTCATCATTATTTATTATAGCACGGGAGTATATGTTTAGTGATTATTGCAGATGAATTATTGAAAAAACTCGTTGCGAATAAACGTACGACGCAGCGATTATATTGTTAAATTTATTATATACATACGAGGTGTGCGTATACCTACTAGCCAGTCGCAATTATTGCAGTTAATCTCGTTTAACACGTTTATTCGGATCGATCACTTTGCAAACCGCACAACCATTAGATTTTTTTGCACAACGTTTAGTTGACATTGTATTTTTAGAATGGCATTTATATTTTCCGCAATTACTACCTACCCATATACATAATAAATCGAACAGCGCAATACCAATAGCTATGCAGCGTATTATAATAATAATATATAAAATACGAGAAATAGAAATATTGTATGTTATCGGGTATTCGGAACGATATTATTATTATTTGTCATAACTCGTAATGTCGTTTATAAATCATCGACCATTTTTTTTCCCCGATCTGAAACGATTAGTTACCGCCATGAGCAGCGGCAGCCGCCAAATACCGATATTTCGAAGGTGGAAGAAAAAGTCACCGTCCATTATATCATGGAAGAACCGTCAAATTCCGTGGTCGACCGTCGAGGATAACCGATCGTCGTGATTTACTACACATCGTATCGTCGCGGTTGGCCTCAAATCGACAGGTTCGCAGTTTCACACATAATAATATTATTAAAATAATATTCTTATTATTTGATTGCGGTTTGGCACACCACAACGCTGCTCTAAAAGTACGCGATTTGCTCTCGTCGACAAAACCGTAAGTACAATTAATACACTGTAAAAATTATAGTTTCTCAAAAAATTTGCTCCGTTCAAAGTGGTGTGCACTATCTGTTCTTTTCGACGACGGAAACAATCTCGGCCACACACAAGACGAGCTCGTTGGACTAAAGTCAGATAAATCATTATCGGTTAGTGTTGCTCGTAAACTACGGATATATCGTGATAATATAGTGTGTGAGTGTCAAAAAGAACATTACGACCGGCGGGAAAAAAACAACTCGCGCTCGTTCGTTTTCTTTCATTATCAATTTTTATTTTTTTTTTTTTTTATTGGATAACCCGCGGCAACATAGGCCATTGGGTGTTGGTAGGGAACTGTAGGTTTTTAGTTTGGGTAGGTTGGTACACGTGTGTGTTTGTGGTGGCAGAATTTTTATTGGGGCACCCGTAGGTTTCTGCCATGCCCCGGGTTGGGGGATGGCGGCACTTGTACTCCGGACACCGTGACTTGCCCGGAGAAAAATGCCGCCCAGTGGTCGAGAGGCGAACCCGCGACTGCCAGCGCCGCAGTCGACGCGTTAGACCACTCGGCCACCTCGTCCCCCCAATTTTTATTGTCAGTGCTTTTAATGTGTATATTATGCGAGTGAAGAAAAAAAACATGTGTGTGTGTGCGTGTGTGTATAATATTATTTACAGACGCATTTGTATATATACTCTTATATTATTGTAAGGCTAAGCGACCGACCGTAAACACAACATAATATAATAATATATTATATTATTATATCATTATCCATTATTATCACTATTAGTTTTATTGTACACGAATCTACTCTCGAGTTTTCCTACGACTGCCGTTTCCACCGTCTCCGCATAGACACCGAACACACTAAACGATTTTATTATTAATCCGAAGAAAGAGCTAGTCAACGGCCGCCACCACACCAGCCGTATTATATTATGTACCTCCATTGTACCTCTATCATCGGTGCTTTGTGAACCGATTGTAAAAGCGTCTTGTGCAGTGCACTCTGCCGCTGCTGTGGTCGACTACTCTTTATAATCGTGAGCGCGAGCGTGTAAGCATGTTAGGTCTTTCGATAATTAATTTTAATGATATTATAACCGCCGAGCGGTGGACAAAAAGAACTTGGGAAATTGTACACACACACACACTCACACACACACACATTACAGACACTAACTGCCCATACTATAACAGTGCAGGTGCAGTCACCGTGGCGGTGTAAGTCATATAAAACAATTTAAAAGAAATAAAAACGGAATTTGAGACCGACAGAAGATGAAAAAAGTCTTCACTCATCGGTCGAATTCAATTTTTAATTTCAAGACCAGTTCCTCCGATGTTTGTCGATAAAAAATAAAATATTAAATTTTTTGTACGTGCGGTATAGTACGAATATTTTTTTTTTTCAAACATTGTTTTTACGATCGATAAATAATTCATATTTTCATTTCAATACGTACCTACCATATACTATGTATACAATGTATATTGAAAAAGAGAAATATAATATATAAAGTGAGAGTGAGAGAGAGAGAGAGAGAGAGAGTTGGAGGGAAAGAGTGCTACCGCTGCTGTAGTGCTGTACAGGTTTGATGTATTCGTTAGGCAAACGGCTTTTCGGCGACAGACTACTACTACGCATAATATGATATAACAACCACCTTAGATAATATGTGAGCTGATGTTTGTTTTCTTCATCCCCGTCACCCCCACCCCTCTGAACAAGACTGTTTGTGTTGGTTTATATAGTGCCGGTGTATTAATTTTTTTTTTGTTACGCACTTCTGCTCAGCAGATACGTGGTTTTTGGCCAACAGTCTCACAAACCGGTCGACGACGGTTATCGCGATATGATTTACGATAATAATTTTCATCCGTGACATAAGAGGTCTCGGGGACAAGACGTATTGTTATAATTTATTATTATCAAATGGGTACGTTTTTTTAACGCCACAGCACGATCCGCCGTCTACACGAATCATTTATCGTACTATATTGCTCCAGCGATGAGTGATGACGAGGACGAACTGTTGTGGTAAAATAATAATTGCTATTATAATTTATAATTTACATTACAGTGTATAAGTACTATATTGTTATTATTAACAGGAGAAGACATTTTATTTTTCCCTTTAAAAGACGAAAAATTCGTACGAAAATCGTATTTTATATTTATCACCGTATTATAATGTTATAATAATGTTATATTAAATTAATGATGATTTATCATTTGTTTATAATATCTACGTATATTATTACAATATAGCAGCTCGTATTACCCGACATTGAATTTATTATGTTTTATATTATGCTTTTCGGGAACAAGTATACATAACATGTAATATACGTGACAAGCGTGTATATGTTGCTCCGGCGGTAGTTGTATTTTTATTTAGTTTAGTTTAACTTCCAATAAGCAATGCGAGGAATTTACGGGCTTTACATGCAATTCTTTTATTATTATTATATATTTTTTTTTTAGGTTGGTGGAGAGGAGGTGATAGTACTGAAAATATTTCATACAGCGACAGTATAATTCAACGGAAGTTCGTTGTAAAATATTGTCAAAATGGTAAAATTGAAATTTATTATTTTTTGAGAAAATCGTAAAACTAAGAAACTTTTAAATACCAGTGAAGCTACAATATATTGTTTTAATTGTAAATAGTTTCAACTTTATTTCTCATACAATTTTGGAATTAAATAGACTTATTATAAAATATTAGCCAGGACCCACGGAGTCTTCGTTAATTAACATTTATCGTCTTTGAAAATTCCTTTTTTTTTAATGCAAGGGTGGGTTATAATATTATGTTATAGTGTAAAGTAGTCTGGTTGTATAATATGACACTTGTCTTGCTTTCACCAAGTCCTCACAATTCACAATATTACTTTTAATTGCCGTGTTATATTTATATTTAGATCGGATCATCTGACAATAGTAGAGAATTTTTTTTCAATAGGTCTACTGTCTACGGTAGTAAAAGTTCGAGCGTTTTTCTGCATTTTTGCCAAATTAATTTTAAGACTTGTGTGAATATTTTATTAATATTAAAGGATATATACCTATTACATATATTGGCACATATTATAGTGAAACCAAATTTTAATCTACAGATAAAGGGACTAAAAAATACTTTCACTTTTTTTGTGAATTAAAAAAATGAATACTTAGGTACCTATATCAGTACGATATTCTACACAAGTGATCGTGCTGAGCATGTTGGAGGTGGCTGGAATCGGCGTTTAAGCGTGTGCTACTGTGCTGAGCAAGTCTGACGTCTTCCGAGTTGCGGTTTAACGTGGCGAAAACGAAGACACGTCCTGTGACAAATTTATGGCCACATTCAACGTTTTTGTCGAACAGGCATGACATGTCAATCGTTAGAGACATATGCGCCTAGTTCTTTGAAGTTTCAGGGCAACCGGTTGAAGGTGGTCGCGTGTTCCCGTTGTCTGTGGACGTCCGGAACTCGTGGCCGGAAGTGGTGTGGCTCGGAATAACGACACTCAGTCAACGACGATCACGGTGCGCGGGATGGAAAGACAGACAGCGACTGCGGATATACTGGAACCAGCAAGAGATTATTATAGTGAATGTTGGATCCGAGCTATGTGAATGAGGACACCGCGTTGCAGGATCGAGCTACTCAAACGACGGCTAACTTGCCACCAGGAACTTCTTAGTGGACGAGTGCAGTACGTCAGCCGACATGAAGCCCCCGTATCCTCAAAGATTCACGGACAGGAAACCGACTTACGAGGCGAGCGAAAACACCTGTACAGGTATGGGATACTCGATGACATGACTGGACCAGTTCCTTCTCGTCCAAATGTATAACTGCACTAAAAGGGTTTTCGACAAAAAAAAAAACATTAAACGTTAAATAATATATATTGTAAAATAATGCATTTAATAACAATTATATTTAATTCTAGCATAGACTACCAACTTTGTATAATAATTATATTAATATGTTGGCTTGATATTTTCGTTGAAAAATTGCAAGCAATTGAAATTGAAACAATATCTACCTAACCAGTTTTACGGTATACTCAAAATAATAGCATATATTATTTTAAAATGTCTTTGTCATATTCAATAATATAATACTAAAACTTATTATAATATATAGGTACCATAAAATTGGTAACTGTTAAATTATATTACAAATATTGATAATTTTGACATTTCGGTGGGTTAGCGCCAAAATCAGTAAAAGTGAAATGTAACAAATAATACTAGCTTGCTACCTATTCTATATCTAGTAGGCGTGTAACCTTGTCATTGAGTAGGATTGAAGGAATCTCGAATGGATGAGTTAGATTTGATTTAAATATTAAATTGTTAAACCATTTGAAATGAAGGCCTCCATGTTGGCCTCAATTTCTAAGGATATTTTACTATACTTTAGTTTGTATGTAATTTATTGATCAAATATTAATACAGTAGGTTTATCTAATATTTGCTAAAAATAGAAAATTATCCTTTATAGTATATCGTGAAGGCATAGAAATAAGTCAATACCCAAGTTCCATACAATTCTGTGAATGGATTCGTTTTATAAATAATTTGAAATATAAATTACCAAAACTAATGATCTGTCTAATAATAAAAATTTAAAATCATTGATGTACTTATTATTTATAAAATATTTACTAGATTAAATAATTATATTATCGGAAAATACATTAAATAATTCAAAACTCCGTTAGTATAGGCAACACAACTTACAGGAATATTTTGCGTTTACCATCAGCTAATAATATTATAGTAGCACACTGTTGCAAGAAAAAATATTTATATTATATTATTATTTATTAGTAATATTAATTTATGTACATAATATAAAATGATTATATGTATGAGGATGAGGAGGGATTACTGATGAGGATAATCTATGAGTAATAAGTGCCATTATAGTACCCATTAGTGACACTTGGGCACTTGGCTTATGATTTAAAAATTGAAAATTAAATTAAATTAAGTTTCCTGGAATTGAAATTTTAAATTAGTCACAATAATCGTTAGAAAAAAATCACATAAATCTTGTTTCAGTTTTATATTAATTCAGTAGTACATAATATATATATTATATAACAACTGTCAGATAATCATATAAAAAAAGTCGTGTAAACACACCCTTACCACTAGTCACTATTGTTTCACTGGTATTTCACGTTGAATAAAATTTAGGCTTAACTTTAAATAAGGTGATACTCTTAAGAAGTTAAATATCCTAATTAATTATTTTGTATTTGAACATTTTTAAAAACAAAATTTTAACTTGATAAACAAATTTATTTTAAGGAAATAATTATCATTGTGAACGTGTTTTAGGTTGAATTAAAGTACTCTGGATAATTGACTACCTAACAACTTTTCCAATTTACTATCAAACTGGTTTTTTTTCAATCGCGTAGATATTATATAAATTAATAATTATATGCATACGACGTATAATAAGTTAAAATATCTAAAGTAATTTTTGTTTTAAACGATACCTGCAATATATTTTTGTTGAGTGTTGCTACACAACAATGCTATAAAAATAAAAATAAAATCTTTCACAGTTTATTAATAATATCATTTTTTGATACTTGACTGTTTCAACAAAGTGCTCCTACAGTCCTACATATATAAAACAATGTAATAATATGATATCTACAATTCATAAAATAAATAAAATGTAATATTTATATTAATAAAGTATCATACACATTATTTTTCTAATGGTATCCTTTGATATAATAAGGGACATAAATATGTTATCTGACCCTCATTTCGATACATCCAAATTAAATATTGACTAAATACAAATATTCTGTTTCAGGTGAAATAGAAAAAAAATTAAACACGCGACTCGTGACTTAATTTTCCCACTCTCCCGATATAAGGTCTATATTTAAATAGTGATAGTCCAGCGCCATTATTTGACTAACAAAGTGTGCCATTCGTGTGCAAGGCGAGTAGTTGAGGGTTCGAATCGATTTACATTTTTCGTTTGGTTTTTCGTACCAATCGTTAGAAATGCGAAATCCTATAATATTATTATGGTTGTGTCTTGCGGCGTCAACATTTAGGACGTCGGTGGAATACGATGGCTTGATAAACGCGTTGACCAGAGTGTTTGTGCACAAACACGTGCAAACCGTAACGGCTACCACATGCTGGCCCACAGGTGAAATTTATTTTTGTTTTGTAGCCGCTGTCGTTTTTGAAAATCTGAACCGAAAAAAACCATACTGACATAGTATATTACACTCATATTTTACGCACGACGTTCTACAGACGCAAACAGCCGACTACTGTTGGCCCTGTCGTCGGCCGACATATCGGTCAATTTCCGTCCGTCCCTGATTCCAGTGCACACAACTTGGTACAGATATGGGATTTTGGTCGACGTGTCTTGCAGTGTTCAGATCCCGACCACGTTATTTCGGAAGGTATACAGCTGTTATTTTATAACATTATAATTGTATTGTCATTATAATTACATAACGCCGTGCGAGTGCCATCTAGCCAATAAACCCCGCCTATTGATTACTTTTCATCGGTTTTATTTTTTATTAACTATGAATAACCGAAATGTATGTTTAGTATTTTAGCGTTTCATCGTTGCGTATATCGCCAATTTTGTATCTACTTGTTTATACTAACTACTCATCGACTCTGCGGAGCTTTAAATTAAATATAATATTTAAAAATTATACACTTTAAGTGTTTGTAGTTTTGGTTCTTTGCTTAATGTTTATTTTTTTTTCAAATAAATTGTACTTCTTATATTCTACATTAATTATATAATGTATCTATACCATATAAGTCAAGATATAGGTATTTTAAATAAATTATACAACATTGAACATATTAATATAAAATAATTGTCTATATTATTAAATTTAACATTATAATGACTCGTGTTATAAATTAATTATTTTAATAAGCAATTCAGTGAAATATCCATGCAGTCTAAAACGTACAACTGGTTTCTACCATTTTTATAAAATATCTAATACTAGGAAGAATCGATATTTAAGAAGTAGGTACCATCAATGAACAGTAGATATAGCCAACAATATCTATAGATATATTTTATAGACATAGGGTCATAGTCTCCATATGCAGAACAGTATACGGCGGAATCAATGGTGGGTGAAGTCTGCAGTACATCTTTTCAAAACAAAATGGATCTGGTGGAATCGATAGATTTCCATCTCTTCGTTTTGAATTTTGAAAGACGAATTTATTATATAATATTCGCCTGTATATGTTTTTCAACATATGAAATAACAATAGTCAATAATACCATACATTTCATAATATTGTTAGGACACCTGACTGTACTTTACAGTATATAATAAAATATACATTTTACGTTGGAATTTGTAATTCCCATTTAAACGCTTATTATATCGAAAGTAGCTTTTGGTTATTCATTCATAAACTAAGTTAGCTCGATAATTATTTTTATAAAACTATATCATAAACTGAGGGTAATTCATTCACGTCATTATAAACCATATTAAAAAAAAATAATAATAAGTAATCGAATTATAATGGCGACCTACCTATGAATAACATTATATCTAATGCGCTCGCAGGCTTCGAAACACAGACTTTTTAACATGCAAAATGATTGGATACTAATAAACTCACGGCGAAACGAAAGTCGCGTGCTGAACACATCGGCGATTGCGCTCGAGACGTTCGAAATGCATTTAAGTGAAGCGTACGTTCTTCCGGAATCCAATGTGTTCCTGTTCATCGACACTGCCAGTGGGTGGGAAATATGGGAGGGTTTCAAAGTCGGTAAAATGGAAAAAATCCAAGTGAACAGACACGGGATGGTGACGAGCGATGGAATTTATTTTGAAAAAAATGACTCCATATCGTTCAAGTCCAACCTACGAGGTATCACATTGAAGGCGACTACTGTGGTGAGTAGATATGGTATAATGTTTTCTATGTTAGGTAAGCACCAAATTAAATCAAAACTTATTGATTAAATGTAATATTAAACATAATAACGTCACTCATCATAATATGATAAATGAACAACCTATACCTACATAGTTACCACTCAATAAAAAAGATTATGAAGTTGTAGTGTACGTCACACAATGGCATATTTGTTTTTTTTTAAACTATTAAACTGTGTACTTTTAACATGTAAGGTATCATTAATTGTTGCCAGAATGATTGCTAAGCTTTGAACAAAAAGCATTAAATTGTTCTAACAAAAGTATGAAATATTGGTGTCTTGCCCGGGTCTACAGTTAAATATTCCTGATAGTATTAACTATTAAGTTTGTATTTATTTATATAAAATATTTTCATATTTTTTATAATATAACATTTAGCAAAAAATATGTTGAATTTAAAAAAAAACTGTA